AACAGAACATCGTAGCCCTGACGTTGTAGGATCCGGACTGGTAAATAATTTTAAATAGCTTGAGGCATAATTAAGACTATAACCAGGCCTGGCATAAAACCACGTTGGTGATGTGTGACACGAGATTTGTTTGGAAACTGAACAATAAAGTTGTCTTGTTCAAAATTGATCACACCGTCGGTATTTTGTCGTATATGTATCACAGGACTCGAATTAATACGGAATTGGGCTAAAAGGGTGGCACTAGTGCATTCTTCTCGATCATAGGTAGCTTGCACTTAATGATGAGCCTCCGGCAGTATAATATTGGGTTTCTTCGGTGAAGAATCGTCAGTATCTGTACTACCACTGCGGATCCCATAATTTTCAGGCATGCTGCAGCATTGTGGCCACCACGATTGCATTTATCGTAGTGGAGAGATTGGCGATCTGCGGTGTACGTTTTGCCTCTGTGGTCGGGCCAGCCACATTTGCGATAAATGGAAACTATGGCCGACGAGCACACAGACGGGGCATATAATTGTTGGTAGAGAGCGTTGAGACTACTAGAGTTGACCGTCAAATCAAAGTATTTGTCTGATTGCCTCTAAGGACTGCATTGTCTGCGAACGTTCGGCAGACGGCAAACGATAGGCCAAGGTACTTTCAGCGAACAATATGCCAACTACACTCGTATACTGAGGTCGTGCGAATAACTACAGACAAGTTCCTTCTCGATGGCACAGAAGTTGTCAAAGCACCCAAATAAAAAGATATATGTGTGGCACACATTGGCAATAAAACGATATGCTGTATCTCCTACTACTGAGCATTTCTCCGCGCAGGCGGATGTCCATGCACACACCACCGCACTTAGCTTCTGTGAATCTTGTACAGTCGGCATTTGGGTTTTAGGGCCCCGGGGTGTGTATAGACCGATCTCGGACAAAACCAAAGATTCTGACAGAAAGCCGGCTGTAGGCACCGTGTTATATGTTGATATTCAGACTGACCTGGCTTCATCGACGGGTATTTTTCATCCTCAGCATCAAGTTCATTCACACTACCTCTGGTATGCCTTTCGTGTACCCCATTAAGACTTAGGGTGAAGCGAGCGAAACATTGGATGTATTCTTTTCTAACATACGCAAGGATTAACTAATCAAACTCCAAGAGCTCAACTGTGACAGAGGAGGTGAGTTTATTTCACAGGAATTCGACGCTTTTAATACCCAACAGCGTGTTCGGATTACCGGATTACCCAGACCTCGAAAACACTAGTTACGATATTCACTTCGCCCTATAAAGGTACACGACAACCCAAACGTCTCCGCATGTGAACTTCAACTCTAGGCGAAACATGCACAACCTCTCTATCACGTTCGCCGTTCTAAGAAACAAAACAGAGCCGACAAGCAATATCGCCGAGATGTCCTCCAATATGCTAGCTTTAACATTACGCACCATCCAGGAACCACCAGCCGACTTGGATTATTAGCCGTAGGAACCGAAAACGCTTTCAAATAAGATTGACACCCACACACAGCCACCCGCTGCACGTCCTACGTGCCAGCAAACACTGTTCAATGCCACTATTCACTAACTCTATAGTGTCTGTGCGGACGTCAATGTAAAAGTCAGACTAACCAGACTGACTATCGATGACAACAAGTTGGCGTAAAAGAAAGTACGATTTCAAAGTAAATTTGCACAATGTATTTTAAGTTTAGCTTCAGCCCTTGGTAATGAGCTAAAGATTAGCGGATTTAAGACTGAGACTATTGTCTTTATGGCTCCGCTCTAATCCCTCAATACTTCGGTCTAGATTTATTTGGTGTCAGTAGCTAAGATCAGATTTCCTTTCATTGGATGTATGATATTTCGTTCTATATCATTTCATGTCTGGAAACAATCTTCCAATCGCAATTACCAATAAAATAACTCGAAGTCCAACTTAAGAAAATAAAAAGAAATCAAAAACACCATGATGGTACAGTTAAATGTCTGTACCTATACCCCATCACATGGTACCTGGCTCTCCATCCCATTGAAGGCATAGACGGGCATATCTAGTCGGCTGGCTAAGAGGGATCATTTTCATGCCCCATTTCTCAGTGGGCTATCTCGCGCTGAGAGTATTCGGTAATACATGTGTCATCAAGTGTCAATATCACCTGAGACTCACCCATTTGTTGTATCCCAATATTTTGATAGAAAACATATCATTATAGAAAAACCATCGTATCAATATCAACAGTCTCCGGCCTCTGTCGTATACAATTGTATTTCCAAATATCCCAAAATAGATTGTTTGTTTGTTTGTTTTCTGCCATCTCAATATATCTATAATTAGATTATTCGATTCTTATACATACAATTATCTACAATTGCATTTCAACGTTTACCAGGTTTTATAACCGTAATAGCGTTTAAACGTTATTACGGTTATAATATACGTTAACATGTGCTTCTACTATGGGAACCCGCTGATTTTACATCAAGTCGCACCCTCTCACTCCACACGCTATTTGGCAAGCACTCCACACCGAAGATGCTAATCTTTGGTGAATCACTATTAACCGCGAGGTCGAAATCTAACAGCGGAATCATACATATTACCTTCTTCAACTCGATGAGGTCCCCGAGGATGCATTCATAGTGTCCAGCAAATGGGTCTTCAAAAATAAAACGATTGACGGCGTGGTGGATAGGTACAAAGCACGATCATGCGCACGAGGTTTTAGTCAAACTCAGAGGATTAACTACGGGAAAACTGATGCCCCTACGTGTTCACATGAGACATTTTGCAGTGTCCTCGCGAATGCCGAATCTCAAGGTTGGTATGTCTAGAGCAGATGGATGTCGACAGTGCCTACCTGTACCCACGGTGCATTGAACTTTGCGTGAGCACATAAGAGCCTATAAGAAACCGCAGCTTCGAGCGTGTTGCGTGGCACCCAGTCTGACAGAATAGACCGGGGATTTTTTTATTTATGTCTGAGAGTGCAGGCGAGTTTCCTGTAAACTCTTACTCAGAGGCGAGCAACCCTGAGGACACGGCGCATCGAACTTTGCGTGGGCACTTAAGAATACTGAATAGAGGGACAGCCAAAGCTTCGAGCGTGTTGCATGGCACGTAGTCGATATATTTGCCCTGAGAAGTGTTGAGTTGGTATATCATTATTACATAGAAGGCAGAACATATAAAGACGCTGTGACGGAGTCACAAAAAGCGCTGCTATCAGCCGTAGCGTAGCGTATGCTTCCATGGTCATCCTATCATAACGACAAAGAAACGGGCAAAAAAACATGCATTAGGAGTACTCAGGAACAGAAAGGAAACTTAGCTAGTAACAGTATGGACCGGGATTACACAGACAAGAGCATCCGAATGCTAAAGAGGGTCGTCAAGCGTGTCTTTTATTTAGACTAGGCTCATGCCAGATTGAGTTAGCTGGAGGGATTTACGTCGTCACGAAAGTACACAGTGATACCTAAAACCGGGGATCCGATCTGAGAAAAATAAATTAGCTGGCACAAGGTGTCCATGCTTCATTTTGAACGTACACACCCCACCGCACGCACATACCAGCTGTTAGTAAATAAACATGTATACATGTATGGAGACACACGAACACGTACATATGAATATATATATATATATATACATATACATATACATATATATATTTACACACACACACACACACATATATATATTATATAACTGTAACAAAAGCACACACACAACCGTACCATAGTTTTTCTGTATACATATACGCACAAACACACACACACAACACACACACACACACAAACACACACAAAAACACACACACACATATAT